AACCCCATACTCTTAAATGTTTATTTCAAATGTTTGTGTATTTGTTTATAGGAGAACAAAAATGAGCACATAGCAGATAGCTCGGTTGCTTGTTACTTGAAGTTATGGTGATTTTTTTTTTGGCCCTTTTGGAAGGAGAAAGGTTTTAGTACTCCTCAAAATAATAAGGTTTGTCTGGAGTCTTGGCCAAGGAAAAATATATGTAGGATTTCCTGCAATGACCGGAGGGTAGTGGTAGATGATATAAGATTAATATTAAACATCTTATGATTTTTAGACTTATAGAGCAACTGAATCTGACTTTGAAAAATAAAGAAGCTATAATTCAACACCTTGAGGAAGGAAAGTCTCAGAACGGATCTTATGATGGGAACTTTCCAGCAGAAAAAATCAGAGAACTTACCATTGCTTTGAGGCGTGAAAAAGATGGTGAGATAGAGGTGAGATAACGGACTGATCAGTTTTAAATTATAAATTTCATGTGGCCTGGATTTTAAAAGTATTCTGCATGACAGTATGTAAGTGACCTAAGCCATTTTTTAAATACCTTTCTCCATGCTCTTTCTTTACCATCCTATTAACATCTATTGGTTATAATTTGGTTTGGCTGCTAATATTCATTCTTATTGTCTATATTTATAATTTTTCATTGGCAAGTCATATTCTGCATTGCCTTTACACCCCTATTTTATTGTAGATACTTAGTGATGTGTATGTAAAAATGCTATATGTTAATAGGTTGTTTAAAGACATCTTAACTTCTGTAGAGATAAGAATGTAATTTAAGAGCTGATTTAAAAATCCAACTATTATGGTCTATTGTCTCTTGCTCCCTTTACTCCTTAAGGAGGTACCTTTGTGCTTTGAGCGACTTTACTTGATAACAACATTTTTTTTTTCTCTTTCCTTTAGGCAATCAGAATGGAGCTTAAAAATGAGAGAAATTCCTTTGAGAAAAAAATTCAGGTAAGTTCTGGTTTTGTTTTTTTTCCCTTGTCTACTTAGAACACATGATGGGATCTCTTCTGTTATCCATTCACAGACACAGAGAGACCTTGGCTCTTTTTTGAGACAAGGTCTTCAGCAAATCCTTTGTTAAATGATGAGAAAGCTCACTTTATTTTGAAAAAAGAATCAGTGAAGTTGATAGGTGTTTATAGCAAATATTTAAGTTGTTTCGTGGCTGATAGTCATAGCCAGCACATGAAGTTAGGCTTCTTTTACTATATTCCAGGCACATCTTTAAGAAGGTGACTCACATTTTGAAACTATTTTATGTGAATAATTTGAGTAAAAAGATACAAGAACTGTGAGGCAGAATGCTTATTAATGTGTAGTTACACTATCTCTTAGTAGAAAGTTAATGCAACTTTCACATAATCTAATTTAGTCTCTTCAAGAAGAGCTACGAGAGAAAGAGAATGAGCTTGCTGTTGAAAAGAAAAATGGTTTGAAAAGGGATAAAACCATTCAAGGACTAACGGTTGCATTGAAAGGAAAAGAAAAAGAGGTATGATAACTATGAACTTTGCGGGACTATCGTTGGGGGTGTGTGTTAGGGCTGATCTCTCTAACCTTTAGAAAGCTTCTAATAGGTCCTGAATTACTACTGTCATACAGCTGTAAGCAGGTCTTTGCAAAGCTGTCACGTTTGTTATCTAGAGTTTTGAGTTGGACCATGGGGGAAGATTAAGATGCTGGACTGATGCTTTCTCCCTTAAGAACTTGGAGAATGCCTTCAGTTGACACTTTCATCAACTCTGAACATTACTTAAGGTATAAATGTATTCTGTGTTGCTGAGTTAGTGGAGCTGACATATAAAATAAGCTCCAGTAGGAGAGGTCAGCTTCAAATGAAACTGAGGCTTTAGTGGAGTAGTGGGAAATACTAGTTCTTTTGAGTATGTAGAATTAAGTTCCTTATGCTAGGCTTAGTATGATGTATTTTGTGTTTTTATTTAAAGTATGTTTTGTGTAGAAGGATGAAAGGGTAATAAGACATGATAGCTATTACAAAATCATCATCCCTTGGAAATAACTTTTTCTACATAGGATTCATTTTACTTTATTTAAAGAATGAAGAACTTAATTCTGAGATTGAGGATTTGAATCTTTCATTGGCCAAGGCAAGAGAGGCAACTCATAAAGCACACATCCAAAAATTCAAGGTAAGAAGCAAGCAATTAAATATGGTTTTCTCCTTTCTCCCCTTCTCCATAGTTCTACACAGGAGGCATTTCATGTCATTGAAAGTGAAGGAATGAAAGGTTTTTAAATATGTTTAAAGCATTTAGTTGTTCTTACAAAATGAATTGCCTACAATAATTTAGTTTAAATTATGTATATTTCTGCGCTTTCAATTTTTCTCCTGTAGCTACTGAGATTTAAGGGAGAAATGTGTAAATGTAAGTTAAGAGGAGGAATGTCAAAGATATTGCAATAGTTGGGGCTTTATTAGCCTGAGTACACTTTAGTCTCCTTTCCATAAAAGAGATAACAGCAGCCATGTCCCTTTGCAGCTTCATACCAAGAAAGTCCTGCTTATTGGAGTATTAATCATTATAACTTTCATTTTTATGCAAGTTTGATTATTTTGGAAAGTGCTACATTAAAAATTCTGCAACTAATCCCTCCTATCTGTAGAAACTATTGCATTTCGGATAACACAGCAGACATTTTTTCCTCATTACCCTGCTAATTAGCTTCAACTTTGAGTGAGGATGGTTCCCTTTATGTGAGTAGATCAAGCTGCACAGTAACCACTTCTGCCATCTATGCTGTGAACACCGAGACGACCAGCCACAGCGGATGGCCGTGCAGAGACGTAGCCTGTGCTTTGTGCTACAGGAAACATGCTTAGACTTAGTAGCTACTTGAGCTAGTCGGGCTTCAAACTGATCAAAAAGACCTTATATATTAACACTGGTTCACATATCTCATAAAATGGTAGCGCTTACACTGCAGGTTCCTTTGCAGACCAACGTTCATGTAGCTCTTAGTTACCTAAAACTCTTATCTTACCCAGGATATCACTGCAGGTTTTTGTTACACTGGGAAGTCTATCAGCTGACCAATATAACATTTCCTGGATCATTTGGATAACTCTCATTCCACTGTATTTTTGCACCCTGAGTGCTGAAGAGTGAAACAGGACGGTGGGGTGGGGAAAGTAGAAAGAAGTAAAGACATCCATGCTGTATGAAGGATCTCTGTGGAGTTTAGTGCTGCTTTATGTTTTAGGGTGCTGAGGATTATCAAGCTCTCTTGATGGAAAAAGAAACTCTTCTGGCAGAGCTGCGTTCGGAAAACCTCATGAAGGATACGGAAAACCGTAAGCTACAGAGGAGGATTAAAAGGACGGACCAAGAGCTAAATGACTTGAATTTAGAAAGAGAGAAGATGGAAAGGGAGCTGGATGAAGCACAACTACAGAAGAGCAGAAGTGACAAAACCATTAATGTTATTATCATTTTTTTTCTTCATAAAGTTAAAAGATAATTGATTCTATTTCTAATATGCCCTCTAAAAATTTATCATCTTTAAACTTACTTGAATGCTTTTTGGAAAGGTAAATGCATTTGCCTGGAGTCAGTATACAAAAGACTGGCCAAGGAGATTGAAGAAAACTCGTAGGTGGTCTGCACACACAAACAACTTAAATCTCATCTTGGTAATCCTTTAGTTAAATCCCAGATAAAATCATTAGTCTGTGTAAGTGGTAAATGGTAAACATTGGTTTCACTGTTCCTAACAGTTTAACATGCGTGCTGATGTATATTTTATAGTTTCTGTCAAGTTACATGTCTGTAAATTGCCTTACATTGCACTGTGCTAACTTAACTTTTTTCCTTTTCAGCTCTAATGCAGCGCAAGAGTGAGGAGTTGATTGTTACAACCTTAAGCCTAACTTCTGCTTGCTTTTTGCTATCATGGATTGGTCACTGTGAAGGCTGTATACTTAATAACAATTTCTGCTAGTAAAATTTCAAAAACACAGGATTAGTTGATGCAGACTTACCAAGAAAGATGTGCTGTATCTTTCCAATAACTGGCTTGCTTCATGTTCTGTTTAGGGCTTTTCATCTTGCCCTAGATACCTAGACAAGCACATTTGCTTCCAGCAAGCGCAGCTCATTCAACAAAATGAAAGATCCAGTTTCCTCTCTTATTTTTCTGAAAAAAGACTACACCTCCTGCTGAGCACTTGGCATAAAACACGCTTCTCACTTGTGTGCCTTGTCACGTGTGTGTCTGTTTCCCCCCCCACCCCTACCTTAAATCTTCTCAAAACTGCTTTCTCCTTGCAAAGGTTGCCATCCTTAGCTAGGGATTAACCAGAAGCTATAGTAAATAAGGGATAGAAGCTCATTTAATCTTTTAAGTTTAGTAAATGTTTTGCCCCTATTAAAAAAAGGGCCTCCGTAAAGCAATGGAACGTCTTTCAAAAAGTCTGCACTATCACTTAGATCCACTAGAGGGGTCTCTTTAGCTGCAGACAAAAAGTCTTTCCCCAACTGCTGTTTCCCCCACCCTTTCCTTTTTTTTTTTTTTTTTTTTTTTTTTTAAAAAAAAACACACCCTGTTATTTAACTAACAGTTCTGGTTGATTGTCAACGGTGGTTAGGCTGCTGTCACAAAATCTTAGCTCTGCTTTGAAATTTCTTCTGGGTGTTGAGGTTAAGGGGAGAAAGAACAGATAGCTCCTGTCAGTAAAACAGCTACAAAGAACATATTTTATTGATTTAAAGTATTTTTATCTTTAGCTGTCTTCTCTATTCAGAGCCTTTTTCCCCTTTCAGGGGAGCTAGACTATATATGTGTATAGGAAAAGCAGGGGAAAAGTAGGTTTGAGTAGGGCTTTGCCAGGGGATTCAAAGTTGCTTGCATTACAGAAGACTATTTGACTCCATTATGTCCAAGTTTTTCAAGTAAATGACTAGTTCCTTGGGGAAAAGCATTCGTGCCAAAAGATGAGCAGTCTCATAGAAATTATATCCCTAACCTATTTCCTACTCCTTGCAGAACAGCTGCTTCAATTTCAGAGTAGCAAGTACATTTTGATAGAGCAACACTTGCCTGTAAAATTTTGCCCATTAAGTAGTAGATGCGTGGGAGTAAAAAATATGCTATGGTAGTTTGCTTTTTGACACATAGAAAACCTCTTCAGTGATTTGATGCAAACCCTTTATGAGACAGCCATCAAAACTCTGCTCTATTTATATTTTGAGGCACCTTTTTAACAGTGTATCTACTTTTTTAGAATAAAGCTGGCACTTGTACCTGATCTTTAGTTATTCCCGTTTCAAATAAACATTTTTTGGGTGCCTTCTTTCACTTAGAAGGACATTTAAAATTACATCTCAGAGACAGTAGTTTTGGCCTTGATTTTTTTGTGCTTAAATATTAATAATCTCATACACAATGGGAAGGAATGTTCTCAGTGTAGTACCCCTGCTCAGGGAGGGCTGGTACCCTTCCTTTTTTCTTTTCTGACACCTTAAAAAGCAAAAACTGTCCTGATAGCTGCTGTTAAACTACAGCTTAGCCCCATTTTAAGCTCTGGATGGTTCTGTACTTTGAAACAGTAAACTCTAGACATACATTTGTACACACAGTTGATGAGGAAGAAGCATCCTTAATGCTGCTTGCATTCCCCATACTCCTGTGTCAACAGGAGACATTTCTTAAGTGAGAAACTTGAGATGGAAGAGTTTGTTCAAATTCAGTTGATTACATAGTTTTAGTAACTATTGTCTATCAAGACCTAAATGTAGATAATTAAAGTGTACTTACTAGGTATTCATATTTGATCAGTTGATTGGGGAAATGCAGGAAAACTCATTAGGCATAATTTCTTCCTACTCGTGGTTTAGCTTGAGAGGGAGGTTTTTGGAATTTCACGCCTTAATTATTCACCAACCTGTTTTCCATCTGACAAGGAGAGGGAGGCATCTGCTCCAGTCTTCTCCATTACGGTGCTTCACATTCATTTTTCTTAGTTCAACTATCATTAATCATAGGGAAGTCTCTTGGGAGAAAGGTTGGCAGAAAGAATTGCCAAGTTTATGCTCCGAGAATTGTAGGTACTATATTACACTTGCAACTCAATGTAGAGAAGGCAATAGTTTTTCTCCCAGACAATTTGAGCGGTCAATGAGTTCAAGCAGCCTGCTATAGTGATGGATAGTTTTGTGTGTTACAGAAATCTGGCTCATGCAAAGAAAATAATTATTGGTTTCAACACAAGCTTGTTCTGGCAAGGATTTAGGGGACTCTGGGGGCAGAAGTAGTCGAAGCAAAGTGTCTGCAAAATGCAACTTTCTCGTAGGCTCTCTGATATTCATATCTGAATTCATGTGCTTTGTCAGTGCAGGTCTCCTAAACCTGGCATAATGTCTGGGCTGCTTAAAGGCAGAGCCTGGTCTCTGTGCTTGACAGGTGCTGTACACTAGAAATACTATTATTTTACATCCAGACCCGTTCTAAGAATAGGTAGTGAGCTGTAGTGCTGTTATTGCAGCAACCTCTTTTCTAGATGTACATGCCTATATCTTTGCTTCTTGAGGCAGTTTATGGCTTTCATAAAAAGAAATCAGAATTTTGGTCGCTTTAAGTTGTAGGACTTCAAGTGGTCTTTTAAGGTCTAGTGCCTACTAGTAGGTGAAAGATTCACTAAAAGCCTCTCATCAAATTATCGAAGCATAATACAAAAATAAAAAGCAGAGTGAGAATCCGAACATTGCTGTTGGTCTTCCAGTTCAAGGGCTGCGTAGGAAGAGTCTCGAGGTGACCCCCTAACTTGAAGCCAGAAGCCTTTGCAGTTATCAGATCTTATGCTATCTCCTAAAAGAGTTGCTTTTCACTGAATTCTGTGTTTATAGTTAGTAATTGTGTAGAGCTCGAAATATATTTGAGACTTTGTGTATATATGGACAAAACTTGAGACTGATTCTACGGTTCTTCAATTTTCTTAGGCAAGCGAATAGTCTTATTGATTATGAAAAAAAGAACTCCAAACCCTTTATTAATTGCAGAACCGAAGATCCAGCTTTATTTGTTATTTGAATAACATTTGATGATGTTTTGGGAACAGTCATTGTTTTTTTTAGCTGAATCCTGTTAATGAATCTGAAATTAAGAAAATTAAAAGGCAGTATAAATATCACTTTCTATTTAAGATGTGCAACAAACAGAACTAAAGCAATGAATAGTAAAATAATGTTAGAATTTGATGTGAACCTGCATGAAGCAATGTAATTAAGTCAAGAAAAGGACATAAAGCAGTTTCTCAAAAGACTGCAATTAAAGTGTCACGAATACTATTTCCTTGTACTTTGAATAGCAAACAGCTCTCGCGTTTTGAATCCCAGTGTGGGTAATTGTGGTGTTTATAGGTGACTAGCATAAGCACAAACTATTTAAAAGGCTTACCATGCTTCCCAAATGGGCCCTTTTGCAAATAAAACGAAAACAAATGTATTTTAAGATGTAGGCTCTATTAGATATTTCGAGTCTGAAGAGAAGTTTAAATAGAACAACGTCTCCTGTATGTTTAACTTTGGACAACGGCTCTTTTGCTCTTTTGAGGTTGCTGCAATAACAGCACTGCAGCCCATCAGTCATCAAACTGATTTTTCACTTGTGATTGGTAGTTTGAAGTTTGTGCTCTTCTCAAAATGTTTTGGTGTTTCTGACTTTTTGTTTTATTTTATTTTATTTTATTTTATTTTATTTTATTTTATTTTATTTTATTTTATTTTATTTTATTTTATTTTATTTTATTTTTTATTTTAGATGCAGGAGAAACTAGCAATGCAGGCTTAGTGCAACAATTTCCATGGTGTGATGGGAGAAAGAACAAAAGACACACTGAATTACCCCTAACCAATTTGCTCCTATCTCTAGTAAAGGAGGAAATTGACTCAGAACCGTGGATTCATTCTGACAGTGACAACATAGATGTGCATGATATTCTCTATAGCTTTGGAGTCCAGTCATACTGTGTGAAAAGCGTTTAAACAATAACAAATTAGATTTAGAAAAGACAGTGCAGACACCTCCTCCAAAATTTCTCTATCTGTATTCATGGGATGCCAGGAGGAAGATGCTGGTTTAAATACAATCTCCACACTGTATAGTGATATAAGTAAAGCGATGAAAACTTAAATTAATAACATCGGTTGTCACTTTGAAATTTTTCTTTTTTTTAAGTTGATTTACTAAATAATCCGCTTTTTTTTTGTAGGACCTTAGAAATCAGCTAGAGAAATTACATGGTGAAATGACTGAGAAAGAAAAAGCAGTTGAACATCATTACAATATTCTGCTGAGTGAAAGCAATCAGAAGTTGCAGAGCCAAGAACTAGTTATAAAGCAGCTAACAGACAATGTCAATCAAAAGGATCTATTGCTTCAGGTAGGTAGACTTCAGCTGAAATGAAAAATGAAAGCTTATCATTTGATTTTGTATGAGGAATTATTACAAAATCCCACTTATATTTGGAATTACTGTTGATGATAATGCTTCACATTTTATATTACTGTAGTCACAGATAGACATTTAATTATAGAACTGTGTGGCATTTAGCGAGATTTCTTTTTAGGGTTTTATGAAACATGTGGACAAAGGAAAAAGAAAGCTTTCTTAATACCTATGTGGAATTTTCACTGTTGTGTCAATATACTTTAAAAGCTCTGAAGTACCTATGATTTTCAGTTTGTCTGCAGTAACTCGAATTTGAGAAATTATACTGGAATATTTTCTCATTTTTGGAAAAAGCCCCTTCCAAGTAAGATACATGAGAAAGGAGCTGCCTGAATGATAACAGACTCCTGCCCAAACATTTTTCTATAGAGGGAGATAAAATTCTGGAATATACAGAATTTCAGCTAGCAGCACAAAAAGTAGTAGTTGAGGTTGCTCTCTGTGCCTGGACACCAAAGTGTGTTTCTTGATTTAGTGTGTAAATGCTGCTTATTTTTCGTGGCCTCAGATTTAACTGTTGATGCTATTTGAAATGTTGGATAGTGGCTGAAACTTTCTTGTTCCTATTACGTTAAATTGGGCTCTTCTTTGCAAAGTATATAAAGAACATGTGCAGGCTCTTTGCTGGATAGTCTTCATCTTTTAGTTGTTTAGTTGAAACGAGGGCAAATTTTGAAAATTGATTTCTTTTCTTTTGTCAGAAACTTGATGGAACAATTAAAGAAAAAGATGTAGAATTGCAGGCCCTTATTAATAAGTACAAGAACCTTCTAAAAGCCAATGAAGAACTTGAGCTGAAAAATGAAGGCTTAATAAAGGAAAAATGTGTTGTACAGTCTCAGGAGTCAATTATCAAGATAGTCAGAGAGCTAGAGGTGAGTTTGATAAAACTGTTACTATTCGCAGAGAAATATTTTGATTTGAAATTGATAAGAATTTTGACTTTGTCTTCAAAGATGTGAGTTCAGATTCATCATAGTTCATCCATGTGGCCAGGTGTAGTTTTTTCTTCACATTAGGACCATCTAATTTGAAAGTTTTTCACGTCTTCTCATGTCTTTTCATGTCTCATATCATTACAATAGATGTAAGCACAAAGACCTCAGTATTGCTAACAGAAATTCTGCAAATTGTGTTTTCAAGGCTTGCTAAAAATGCAGGATCATGACGGAGAGAGGACTGAGGGGATAAATATTTTATTTCTTTAAAAATCAGTGAAATTTTAAAGGCTTCATCACTGATCTCTCATTATTCTATTCTCTCTCTCAGTGAATTCATAGCCCAAGGGTTAATCTGTAATAATCTATTCTGATTGAAACTCAATTAACCAGAATAAACCAGTCTTAGAACACTGAAATCACTGAAATCAGATCGGGACTGTTTTCCTATACAAAAATGTTCTTTATTGTCAAAATGATGATAAGCCCTTTATTATTAATTTTTGTCCTATATTTTTAATTGGCTTCAAATGTTTTAAAAGAGTATTATGTGCCATCATAAGTGTGCCTGATATTGTGCTCCGAGTTTACATGGCGTCAATGCACTGTTTACTGTCAGAAGGTGTGTAAAATATATTGCCTGCCTACCATAAAAAGGTAAGAGTTTGTTGTAGATAGAAATATTTTCTATGGGAGGTCATTTGCTTCTGAAGAGAGATGCAGAGGAGACTGTTCCTCTAATAGGTAAGGGGAAAAGCTCATACTTGCAGCAAAAATTCCAAATCTAGTTCCAAAGAATTAGTGGCCACAGGAGGTAA